TTACTTTATTAAGTGCCGCAGCGGTGCGTATTGGATTGACTTTAGATGATTTGATATCAGGAGAGTTAGTAACCAAAGTAGGTTGGGAAATGGAGGGTTGTTCTTCGGTGTATCGTCGCTTTGACGGAGTTTCACTACAGGGGTATCATAATCCGAGTCCGAATAAACATCACTGTAATTGAGTGGTTTCGGGCGTTTTCTATTCTGTCTTTGCGTTTGCGCATCATGCGTTTGAGAGTTATTTTGTGCTTGACTGATTAGAACATCTATGGTGGGTCGTGGTTGATTGTTTCCATGTTTTTCCTGGACTTCCATTGGGGTTTGTTGAGATGCCGATTGGTTCCATGACGAATTATCAGATTCGGAGTCAGTTAATTCCCAGTCGGTGTTATTGGCCATGAGGCCAGATTTAGCTCAGAAAGAGATGAAAAGCTCGATCGATGCACCTTAGGATTTACTGATATTGCTTACTTGTATCCCGTGAAGATAAAAGTGGATCACTTTCAACGACATTGATGGGAGCAACAAAATTTGAATTTCGCGCCACAACAGAGATACAACCGTACTCAATCGCCGCTACAGAGAGACCTAAAGGAAAGGCCTATTGTTGTTGTTTGGTTTTAATGGCGCTTTCAGCAACTCAGGCTATTTGCACCAATAACGTTAACTGTACGTTTATTCATACATTTTATTAATCAGCATCACATTACGGAGTTAGGGAGAAGGTCCAGTTTTAGTGGCAGAAGGAAACCGGAGTACCCGGAGAAAACCTGCGAGAGCGAGTATGGACAGGAAACCAAATGCAGTTAAGGCCTGGGCCAAGCCAGGACTCGAACCTGGGCCTCATTAAATGAAAGGCATTGTTAAGATACACGGGTTTATAGTTAGATGCATCGGACCGTAGCGCTACGTTAATACGTAATGAGCTTAATGAGCACACCTGTCGTTCGATAACGAAAAGAAATGTCATTTTCCAAAGATCGTCCGTAAAAAAACATAAAATTTCTGTTTTCTCGAAAATGACAGCATTTCAGGTGGTAAAATTTGACAGATTGTCTAACACTATTATGTGCTTAATTTACAGTAAGATATTTCAAGATAATTCGACAGTTGCGTTTTTGAGATCTTACAAATCCTAAACACTGCCTTTAAATCATCTCCCCACATTCCCTTGGCGAGAAAAAAATAAGGTAGATCGTGAAGCATTTTTCAGACGTTCTACTATCCAAAATGTATCAAATAGCATTCACAGAGGGAGAACACTTTAAAACAGCCACAGATATGCCGGTCCGATGTCAGATTCTGACTCTGTAGGAATGACATGCGTGTTACAGATGTTCATCTGGATCACGAATATCGCCCCCTAGAGTCACATTGTATCTGCATTGCCGGGCAAGTCATCCTCCAACAATTCCCTATCCGCAATCCCCGGCCCCCGGCACAAATTTAATTTTTACGCCACTGTGCATAAGTGAAATAGACAAACGAATGCGTACTTGAATGGCCCTAGAAAGTATTTGTTTCTGAATGTTACGATGTGTGTAGTCCTGTTGTCCTCTTCGAATATTTTTTATGGGGATGTTCTACAAACTAAGTTGCTTCAATCAATGTTCACGCCTAGTTCGACATCATCATGAATTTAAGACTGTTCCCAGGGACGGGTCAATCTGACAGGGCTGGTAGATCAGGGATATCTTCGCTGGTTAATTATCAGACTGACCATGACGGGCGGACAAGCTACCCTGTTGAAATTCTTGGCTGTGCATCAGATAGCAATGGCCAGAGTTTAGGCAACGTGTGTCGTAAGTTCTTACAATTGCAAATGGGACTGGCCTGTGTTCTTCATCACACATTGCGCTATGCCGTCCTAGTGCTGTGGTGACCATCAGAGCACAGAGCTGGGTTTGTAGCTCTATGGTCAGAGTTTGTTCAGTCTCGTTAGCGCCCTCAATCATCAAATTTCGTTTACAGTGTTTGAAAAATTTAAATAAACCAATAAATATGATAATAACACGATTTACATGTAAAATGATTTTTTTAAGGAATGGGTTATACGTGTATTATCCGCCGTGCGCAGAAGCACCCCCTCATCGGTTGAAAAGAGCCATGTCGGTCGGGAGTGTTTATTTTGCTGGTAGCGCCACGATCGCAATGCGTGCATTTCATAGTCGATTGTGAACCTGTGAACCAGCGAAGTGGAGTTTCAACCAAAAGAGCATCTGTTGCTAGAAAAATTGCGCGCGCCCTCTCTTGTTCCATCTTTGGACTCATTGCGTCAATGATGAAATATTTCTCAGTCCAAGTTCGCTATTATTGGCGTTCTCTCAGCCAAGTTTGTGATTTGTTTCATAAAATGTTATGATACCATTTTTGCTGACACTGATGGCTTCTTTGGATTTAAATTCTGATACCAAATTAGATGCCAGTTTGTAATCATGAGCATATACCGTAACGTGGCATGCATACACGAACAAGTACATGTACTTTATCAGTGGCGTATCCAGCTTTTGGCGGGGGGGGGGGAATTCAAAAGCGAATGCGGCTTTGTCGTGATGTTGGGGAGAATAAAATATCAAAAGCCTTACTTGGGGTCATCTTTGCTTAGATTTCATGATGACGTTTTCTTGGGATGTTGGTGCTAATATGTGATAAATAAATATGCCGATTACTTTCTTACCTATGAAGTATTCTTTGTAAGGAAAAAATCCGGGGGGGGGGAGTTGCCCCCTGCCTCCACCCCCTGCTGGACACACCACTGTTTTATTAATAATATCACAACAGAGAAATCTTGTTTCCCCTCCCAAAGGGACCTCTGCATGCCAATGGGGAAAAAAACACTTAAAAATCCAAAAGTATTAAATTATTACATCAGAAGACGGAAAGGTCATGATATTTTCTGTATCTGTTAGATAACTGATAGACGAAGCAAATAGCCGGAGAGATCTGATGCAGAGGCTCTTTCTTCATCCGATCTCTGGTGTCCCACGGGGCAGTTTCTCCTGATCGTGACAGAACACAGGGACATACACACATTACTCAATATGCCCCTAGGATTGGGGTCTTTAAATCCAAGCCGGCGTCAGTGCAGTAAAACGCAGCAAAGACTTTAAGCCACCTCTTTGAGATGATCGCGGAACCTTATTGCAGGATCGTTGTCACATCCTCGACGAACACGAACACCGGTCACAATCGCCTCTGGGGACGTTAGCCTCGACGTAGTTGAAAAGCCCAAAGACCTGTCGTCTTATCATTTGCTATTTAAATTCTCACGTGTGTTAGCACAGCCTAACTACATGTAGGGCCACATGGGCAAGTTATAAACACAAACATTGTCCGTTTTACTTGCAACCGGCATTCAATTACAATTCAAAATCATGTCCTTGTTTGATTTCGACTGTCGAGTGATTTTATTTGTGTACTTTTGGTCAACAACTTCCACTATGACGTTTTGATATCGGTATTTCGCAATAAAATTTTGAAAAAGAGTATCACGTCACAAGTTCAAAGATTAGAAATTACAATAAGTATACATTGCAACTGAATAGCAACAAAGTTGAGTTAAATCAAATGATACAAAATACACTGACTGACAAAATTATGAGAATTTGTTTCAACTACCATGTGTAAAAACGTCTATGTAAAGAAATGTAAGTATAGATTGAATAAACTTTAAATGTGGGTATTTAGTGCATTTATAATTTGTGAAAGTTACTCAGGGATCTCCATTATAATCCCGAAAATTGATCAGTATAAATCTCTATCCATGTAAATATAAATGAATATATCCTCGGTCAGTATGATACGCATTTGTAGGGGTAGTAATCTAATTTTGCAAATCATATCTTTTCAGGTTGTGGATGCTTTAACTTCAGTTTTACACGAATACATCAACGTTATCACGCAGCGCAGAACTCTTTCGTTGTTGATTGAAACTGTGAAATTAATTGATTAACGAAACTCAGGTAAGCCCATTTGCGCTCAAAAGCTAATTTAACCCAAAGTTTCAGATTTTGATTTTTAACATCTAATTTAAAACTACAGTATGGTTCATTTGCTTTCTTTGAGGTCCCAACATCAGATGATCTAAGCAATGTTATTTTACAGTTATACACCTCACTTAATTGACAGCACGATTTTAAACAGCGTTGTTTTATGTGCCAATAACAATTTATGCGAACATAGCACGAACACAGTCACGTGGTTTCTGATATCAAGCACATTGCACTGGGTATAGTGCGTGTCCAAGTCTTGGGTGGAGAAGGCAATGACCGTCCATTGTTTTTCACCTAGAAAGGTTCCTAATGCTCTCCCTCCCCACTGGACATGCTACTGATTGGGAAGAATTCTAGTATTATTAAGAAAACCTTGATAAAACGACCTTACTCAACAGTTTTCAACTGCTAAATAAAGCACACACGTATAACTCTGCGCGTGTCATTAGTTTGAACATCGTTATCAATGAAATCAAATGTGTTTTCTTCACAAGCAGCTTTCTCAACTTTCTCTCTCTGTTTGCTTTATTCGGAGAAAATACACAAAACTGTTTTACTTTAAAAAGGAAGCCCCGAACGCTCGATACTTACACGTAAAATTAAAGATTTTTTAATGCTGAAGGACTATAAATCGGTAAATTGCTAAATTTATCTGCAGGCATAGGAACTGACCCGAGGATGTCTACTGCTTTGACTATAAAATATCCAATGAATATATTCACGTGAGTTCGATCCATGAAGTCAAGGTTTACTGTCATTCTTCCCTATTACTTTTACGATTAGAAAAAAACAACAGGAGCCCTCTAGGATAAACCTGGATGACCACACGTTATGCATTAAAGAAGAATGGAACATTCATAAAACGTTTTCTTCCCATAGTCTTCTTTTATTTTGTCAAATTTACAATGTCGGAAAAAAGTGTTAACAGCCATTGCATTGCTTTGATTAACATAATGTTAAGCGTTTTATGTAGTACATGTATTCATTAATGTTTATTTTACCATTTTAAAGAAATTTAGTAAACTATTCGAGAAGTTACCTTGTAGTTGATTTTATGTTTCTTCCATTAACTGTGCTTGATGTACCATTTCTGCATTTGAACAGATTTAGAATTGTTCATTCTTATAAAGTTATAGACTAATTCAAGCGTTTTGTTCACGTTTAATTGCATGAAGCCAAAAAAGACAAAATGCCCATTTTCAATTCCTTTTTTGTATTTCATTATCAAATGGAGACATTTATTGACGTGTGTCTAGCTGTGAAGCTCTCACATAGTTATTTTGGCATCGACTTAATGACAAGTAAAATGAACGTGAAATAATCTTGAAAGCTGACTGCGCTCAAAGGCAGTCACGGGGGGGGTAAGTATTTGCTGTTCTGTTGGAAATCATTAAATCAGTCAAACGCCAATCTCTTAAGTAGAGGGCCCGGCATTGTTTCTACTCAAGTACCGCCCCATGTACTTCCATAATAATCATCATTAACAGTGCACTTGCAGAGAGGGTTTCACTAACTTCATTAGCAGAGTTTGTTGACTTTCATATTGTCGTCAGATAGTGCTAAGCGATATTTCATCTTCAAGCCCAGTCAGTTCTCGCATATCTCTTCGTGTCACCTTAAAAAGAACAGTACTGGGCAATAAAGTATTGAATGAATAAAAGACGGTATGAAATACTTGTTCAACCGGGAATGGATGCAGAAATCATTTTCTAAACACGAAATCGGCTAACTTCATAAGCAACACGAGTTTCAACTGAAACAGGGCAAGAGGAAGGTAGTCGGGTTTCTTGAACCCAGGATGCTTACTTTAGGAGCAGTAACAAAGAGACCCACTCCAATAAACCGCCTCTTTTAACGTCAATAATTTGTGTCCAAAAGAAGGGGTACTCAGGACTCTACGAAGGAGCCTTTCTCTACATCAGATCATTCCAAACCTCTACGCATCTTAGCTACTACATGGAATATTTCGGCCAACTCATTGCACTTGGGGCGTATTCTAGGTTATCTAAATAAGAATAATGTCTCATAGAACGAAATGACGACTACGTCTTAGTGCGCTGCGATATGGCGTGTCAACAAGCCGCAGTCATAGCCATCAATAATTTTTGTCCTACATCTATCAAGGTTCATTAAAGCAGTTGCGTTCAATATGTTCGCAAAAAAAAAGCTCACTGCTTGTCTTCGTTGTGTTTTGTATCGTCGGAACCAGTTGGCCTATATACAGCAAGGAGACAGCACTGAAATAAATCCAGGAGAAAAATTGCGCAATTTTGGATTAAGGCATAGTGATTTTAGCGCGACTCTTAAAAATGAAATAAACAACACGGAACACTTTGAGAATTAATGTCCACGTAACACATATCATTCTTTGGTGAATTCAGAAATTCATCTGATTATGGATGATACCATCAGAGTGAATTCTTCAGCCAGCTGTAATGTCACGATTCTATAGTCAGTCTATGCGGCAAGGCTGCAAGGAACAGTGTCGCATGTCGGGTAGGAAATAAGTACTTCAGTTTGTCTAGATCTTTACTCGTCTTCGAATGCGTAGTAACCAGGATCTTGAATCACCAACTCGCGATTTCCAAGCATCCTTTTACGGAAGAGAGTACCGCCAAAGTGGTAATCATGTTGCTCGGGTCTCCTGTTTAACGAGCTCAGCGGACGCCTTTTCCGCTGTGATTCTCGTTCAATCTCTGTGTCTAGGTTGTACTGTTGACGGAGATCGTCTAGTCTCGATGCATGTACCTGCTGACGGACTAGACACCAACAGCATAATATGGCGACCATAAAGACGGCCTTGGTTTCCATTATGTTCTGTAATAAGGGAGGAATTTCATTCTTGGTTACGTTTGTGGTCCATATTTTAAGTCTGTCAAGAGCACTCTTAGCCTTCCAATTTCAAAGTGATTAATTTTCAGTCATAACATACGGAAAGTTAACAATTAAAGACTACAAGAGATGTTAGACTAGTGATCAATATAATGGGTCGTATGAATAAAACGTAGCATTTCCATTTTACCACTATTTTTAAAGCATTTACTCGTGTTTGTATGAATAACAACGAAGCAAATGCTTTTACTTGAGTGCAGTTGCTTTTAAGTAAAAGTATTTACTTTTTACTCTTTAAGCTTGTGCTGGACAATAAGCAGTTGCTTCATTTTGTATGAATAAAAATGAGTAAGTTCTACAGAATTGGAGTATTTACTTGACATGTTTCAAGACCGGGTCGGGACAAGCTTGAAAACGAGGAGCATTTACTAATGTTCAAAATGGCAGCGTTCATGAATGTCATTCGAAAGGAAAAACTGTATGCCTTTAGGAGGAAATCTCAAGAAACCAGATGCAGACAGTTGTACCGATTTGAGAGTGGCAGAGCAATTTTCTTCATCGAGGTTTTTGCGATCAAAATTACTGCCATCGTGCTTATCTGCCATGCTGAAGTCTCAAGATACAGCACCGTGCTGCACTGTGCATCTGTACATGCAGACAACGGAAGCCCTATTGTGCAAAACCATCCGGCTGTGTAGTCAGCCACAAGCATAAAATATTTGCTAATATTTATACTAGTACATACTGATTAGTAAAAAAAACATTTTACTCCTACAAATTCAAGCATTTGCTTGTTCTTAATGGTTTGACTTCTCAGTAAATGCTTCTAGTGTTTGCTTGAACTTCATAGCATTTGCCAGTTTATATCCATACGACCCAGTGACTGGCATATCGAGAAAGTTAACAAAAAAATTAACAATGAATTAAAAAAGAAACAAATGCCATCCCCTATGAAAAAAACAAAACAGACTCAGTTTCAACAAAATGGATAGCCCATCTAACCATTTTTCTTTTTCAATTTCTCGAACAGCGACTTCAACGTTAAGTTACGTTTACCTTTTTCTAAACATTGTAGTGTCTTGTTCAAGCCTAAAGCCCAGTGCACTCGTACACAGTTTATCTTTCCACAATAAATTGTGGGATCTGGAGTAATTTGTACATGTGGATTTTTGTACAAACATTTCAATGAACATTATAAACATTGGTTACAGTTTGTGTAAGTAATCTAGCAAAGTCCAACCTAAAACAAATACATTTATTTATCATCATTTAGTAATCAGCAAATCTTACACTTTCTTGGAAATTTCACCCCTTGGTGCAATTCGGTAGTTACAGCGAAGAATAGATAGCTCTCCTGTACGAACAAAAATGATAATAAATAATTGGAACTTGATATCGGCAAGGTTAGAGACACGAAACACCATGTCCAATAAATTACAGGTTTAAATTAGGATTCTCATTTTGGAGACATGTTTATAATCGGCCGCTGTTGTATAGATATCAGTGCAAGGGGAGAGCTTTAACAACGCCTTCCAACAGTTAGCACCCTCCTTTGGGTATTGTATAAATGTTGATGATGACCCTACTTTCAACTTATATCACCGCTACGACGTCGTTTGTAATGAAACACAACGATTTAGTTCTTCAAAGGCTGTGCAGTATGGTCAAGCCGTGAACATTGAAGTATGTCTGTTTATTCTTTAACATGATTTGGACTATGATGAATTACAGCCGCCTGATTGTTGTTTTAGTCTCGAAATTTAAACGTTTTTAACAACAGCTTTCGTGATTGAGTAGACAAATGTTGAATTGATGCTGTGGTTATAGAATAGGTGGCTTCCTGGCTACTTTCGCCCATACCTACGTCTGTTCATGATGGATGGGTCAAATTAAGCTGAATAAATAATGAGCTGTTCCTCTTAACAAATTTGTGTTTAATAATTTAACATTTTAGCATAAACCAACGTGTCATACATCTCACAGACTGCACGATCCAGCGCAATTAGTGGACTAGGAGCCCCGTGTGTGTGATTTGGGAAGCATGTCTAACTTGTGGTATTTCAGTCTTAGAATTTCCGACCCATTAGAGAAGGGAATTACCTGATAACTATGTTTGTACTTACTCCAGTCAGCTTGTAGTGATTGCAAATGGTCCTTTAGAACGAAATCCGGAAAAAAATAATTCTGAAATAAGAGAATATCAAAAGCAAAGCTCACTGACTAACAATTTAAAATGTTCAAATTAATATGACGAATGATTGATGGTACCAATCCCAAACAGCCAAACGATTTCCTTACAGAACAACTGAGTTCATTTCGTAAAAACAAATTTGCTTCTAGAAAAATGCTTGCACTTTTCCTCGTTTCAGGTTCGATTTCTCGGCATTTATAACACCTCACTGAGTTTTATAAAACTGTTCAAAGCACTTAATGGCAACTGATTTTGCTCTGGATTATTGGTTCAATCATAGAAAATCCAAGTTGAGATTTTTATGGAGACCGATGTGAAATATCTCGACAATGTGAGGGCGTGAGATGGCCACAGTTCATCCTACATACTTCTCTACATTGGTCTTCTAGAGTTGCTTGAACTATTGCTCACTGATTTATTACAAGTTCCCTTACCCCATGAATCCTTAATTGGGAAGTAACGAAAGATCTCCTATTATGACATTTCTTTGCGTGTGTGTGGATGTGTGAGTGATACGGGCGATTTGAACGATTCTTCACGTTCTTGCTCATCTATACAATAAATAAATGATTTTTTTCTAAACGCCAAATGAATATGGTTCCAGCGGACAGTGGACCTCCCTTGCAATTCATTAGAAAGATTAGAATGTCGCTGTCAGTTTGGTTTAGGTGTTTATGTTAACTGGAAATTGCCATTTGGTAAGGGAGGGATTGTGTAAACATGGCAAAGGCGGGGGATCAGTTTACTGGATGAAGAAATATTAAGCATGCTTTTCTCTTACCTGTAACAGAGATCGTAATCTTCAAATTATCATAAAATGAGATTGAAATACCAAGGCAAAATGCCCAAATAAAATAGATTCCGATCTTTCCTGCGTCACAACAGTAGTAAACAACACGAAGCATTTGGAATTGTAAGGACGAGGATAACAATGTCTGCTGTATAGTTTTTGGTAACAAAGCAAAAAAGTTACGCCCTGTTCTTGAATAACTAGAATTGTTTCGTAATTAATGAATTATATGCATCTTATGTACTGCATTTTATGGTTCAAAGCCCCAACAAGGAATGACTCCCAATCAAGTTTCCTCCTTCTTACTTTGATCAAAGACCAATCTCCGTGATGCTCATTAATTTACAACATTTTTATTTCGCGATTATGGTGACACGAAGTAAAATTAAATCAGGATATGATTCCCATTACAGGGAAGTGCGTAAATTTGATTTACCCCAAATATGCTACAGTATGCAAAATCTGCTAAGCTAAACTGGCTTCAAGTTGAACAGAATGTTTAATTTGACTATAGAAGAATTGTACATGTATTTGTCATAAATTGGTAATTGATTACCATACCAAGGTCCAGCAGGAAAAGAAGTTCGCTTCATTTCTCTTTCAAAGACCACACCCTATCAACGTGTGGTTGTCAAAGGTCTGTTTATCAAAGAAACATGTAGGAACTCTTCGTTTTTCAAAGTATAATTTAGTTTCAGTTGGAAGAAGGCGAAGGCGTGGTGTTTAATATTGAGTTTTATGGATCAGTTTGACTTTGCTGACAATAAAGAGTGCAGTGACGCCCAAGAAAGTGAGTAGGACACTCAAACCTCGATGTTCCAGATATTGATGTCTGTTCTCAATGATGTTTCTAATCCCAAAATTAGTGTGGTGGTAAGTCAGCTCAATCTAGTTCTTTTAGCAAATCATTTGATCTGTTTATTTATTTAGAAGAAATTTACCTCCTTTGGTTAACTTTCCGTTACTCCCATTTTCGTCGTATAAACAACAATAAGCCGACAAGATTTGCATTAATCAGTGCCGTAACTCTGTCGGCCCCCGATGAAACCAGCAAGGCACTTAGTGTTTTTAACGGCAGCGCACATATCTGCCCCGTTCGCTCAAACCTCATCGTTAAAAAGGGGCTGCACTCCGGAAACTTTGGAGTGGTGATCCTATGACGCACTTGAACAATTCAGGTGAATTTCAGCGAATTCTTGAACTGCTATAATACGACCAGCGCTGACATCGACCGTTCATCTTGTCACTTGATAGGAGTGATACACTCATCAGACACTGGTCTAAATGGATCGTATGTCCACAATTCAGGTAGTTTTCACCTGGCGACAACCGCCCTGAGTCAATTAAAAATGCGGCAGAAAAAGGACCGTACCTCTTCATTCTATACCGTGGAGTATAATTAACGTCTACTCGAGAGTCCTTGGGAATTCATTGTTATCCTGTTAGGAAGAAGTTAGTTTTTTACGTTACCTGGTCTAATCCAATTCTGTGTTTTTTCGCCTAAAATGTAACTATATTTTGTAACTACATTTTAGGCGAAAATGTAGTTGCATTGTAAACGAATGAAATCCTAACAAAACTACATATGCTAGGCAAGATGTAACTCGATTATGATGTACATGTAGTCGTACTGTTGAGGTAAGCGTGTGTTTGTAAAAGATTATTATTGTTGGGGGGTGATGAAATCGTGCATATTAAGTGTATAACGGTGTGTTAAAGTCAGCTTGTTTGTGCGCATCCAACCCCAACTTTTTAAAACTAAATTGTGTCAACTAAAGCTTTGCATTTGTGTTCTTTCAAAAGGTGCCACTAGCTGTATATTTGTATTCTTTATCTACATCGCTGTCAGAACTCTCTCCGTGCCTCTGAGGTGGCAGAAACCGACTGGCATAGCCGAAATGTGCTTTGAATTCCCACTTATTTTGTCCCACAAGACTTTTTGTGTATACATTTTATCATTTTGACCGAACCTGCGGAAGGACGAAATACCTGCGAATGCTGTAATTCACCTTATCCTTGATCACAATAACGCGTTAGGTACCTGAATCAATTGTCTTGGATAGCGTTTTGTGAGTTCGTTACTCCGATCATGGATTGCATTCAGATGAAATATTTTGAAGAAGGACGCATGTGCAGGCTGGGAATCGGAAGATGGTCGTGCCAGCGAGATTGTCCTGCTTTATATTGTTACTGTTTTGCTGACAGGATACGAATGTATGGACAGTTTCTCTTCACGGCCTGTAATTCTCTTCACACTGTCATTAATTATCATGTTTGCCGTCAGACAGTGGCTGAGATTTTCATTTTTTTATTCATTGGATTTTTCCCACTCAGTTTAGTAACTTTATTTGTTCTTTATCACTTAAACTAAAGGTCATTTGTTAAAATAACGTTTAAGTTTTTATGCCTCATCCATTCGAATTTTTTGAAATGTTTTTCTTTTAACCACATAAATTTACGGTTGAAACTATAATTCTGCCCGTATCAACCTGATAGGCTTTTTATGCGTCTGAAAACTGAAGTTTTCATGATTTGTTCAGCTGTTTATGTTGGTGTAGTCATGAGATGCGATGTTATTAGACCACTCGTCCCACGGACAAGCAGTCTGCTGAACAAGAGCGCTGGAGTTAGAGGATGAGTGCTGTTATATGCTCGTTTTGGTTTGAATTTAACATGACAATGAAACCATAATAACCTGTTAACAAACTTTGTACATCTGACTACCATGCATTACGTCTGTAGGCCTACCAAGCACTTTGAAAATTTAAGTTTTTCATTGGAAATTGCAAATGATACCGAACTCTGTTCACACGGTAAAACTGTTGATGTCTAGCTGTCAACGAGAAATTCTCAAACTGTGTCTTAAAAAAATTAAGATAAATCAAAACTTGGTTTAATACGAATATGATAATTTTAGGCAATGGTTGAATTGAAGGAGGCCAATCAACCCAATTTTTGTCGATTTAGCAGTAAATAACTATAAATATGTGCCTTTTAAAAAGAACTTGCCAAACGTTTTTTTAAATGGAATTTCGAGTTTGTCGTTGTCAACGTGGTTTTGTAGTGCTTTAGTCAGGGACATAAGAGGATCTAATCTCGACTCATTCAACTCTCTATAGAATTATTACAAATCGATCCATTTCCAAGCAACACACTTACAGGCCCCTATGCCTTAAATTCTACTCATCCGTTATGTCATTACATTCGTTCCTCGTATGACTAATAACTAAATATTTTACCAAATATTTCAAAGCAGACCATGTATAAACTAATGCAGGCATCTCCTAACACAGCCTGGGGCAACAGATGTTATCTGTACATTATCCTATCAAAAAATCATATCACGTCAAAAATCCTGTCATGTACGTCACTCTGCATTACATTAGAAATCCAAATATCTCATGAAACCGCGACTAGTTTGAAGTAACGAATTATTGACAAATTGAATCTAAAACGAGGGTTTTTTAATTTGTTTTCAGAAGCCGATCTTTTTGTCTTAAAACTAATCATACAACTGATTATACAATAATAGAAGAGAGGGTTTCCTATACATAACTGTACCTGATTCGTTTCCATTTTTCATTCGTTAATTTTAGGCAAGAGTCATCCATTCAATTGTCCAAGTGGTCTACACGATTTGTTCTCTCATAGGCCGGAGAAAATATTCCCCAGTTGACGAAGTAACCAGGTTGAAGTTTCCATCTCACTCTTGATGGTTTAGTAAGAGCATAATTGGAACCACATGAAAAGCATGAATTTTAAAAATAAGTGCAGAAAAATTGCTTTCGGCCTAAATACAATAGAATAGTGCTTGCTGCTTTCGACACTGTCGCACATTTCTGACATTTGACAGACATTTGAAGTTGACAAGAATGTATTTTTTAAATATTTGTTCAATATGATTCCCTCAAAAGTGAAATGTCTTTGAAATCAAGCGATCAAATCTGCCACAAAAGCATAAAGGTGAAACAGTTGTCACTTTACCTTGAATAAACGGCTGCCGTCTGATTACCAGGTACTAATCTCCTTGTGTCGATCACTACCTTCTGTGTGCTGTTCAAATAAGTCCAGCCCGTTATATCTATAGCCTATGACGCCTACTGCCTCAAAGCCATTAACCAATCACAGCCTTCCGTTCCTTTGGTTCTTTATTTTACCTATCACCGGAACTGTACTGACGTGAGGCTCATCAATAACGAATGGGCAGGGGTGATTTTTTGTTGATTGTGTGTTGAGAGACGGTTGTTTTGCGAGCTGTTAATGGTCCACACAGTGTCAAGACATCCACATACATGAAAAATACCTTCATTACACATCTCCAAGCAGTGTGTAACCCTGTGGGTGGGAGTGTCCCACGACTAGTGTCTGGATTATGATAATCACGAAAACAACGCTCACTTGACGTTGACATCAAAATTGATTACATCGTTTTGCTTTTGATATATAATCTTGGAGTTTAATGCATGCATTTTGTCGCGTAATTACGTTGCAGGTTAATCATTCATAAAGAGTAGATTAGTTCTTCGTCAAACTGTCATTTCTTCGCAGACCTGGCCAAATTAACACGTATTGCACACAACTTGAAGACCCAATTAAATACCGGTGGCTACAAGAGTTATGCTGGTCGGATCTTTTGCCTAAGCACCATGGATGAGTCGTAAAATAAGTAGAAGAAAATAATGGTAAACTCTAAATAGTGACGTTTTATACCATTTATCTTTCCTTGGGGTTTTCGTTAATTGGCGTACTTTAATTCAGTTTCCGTTCATACTGTATGATTTTACTTGGATGTCTAGCTATTTAAAGTCCTCTGCATGTATTAGGTGTAATTTAATAGAACTCTGTATCTTATTATACCTTGCAGCAATTTTATCAACAAGCTGAGTAAGCCTACAGACGATCTGTTCGGTTATAACAACCTAGTCCGGTCTCAAGAAAGGGTTTCTGTTGAAACCTACTATCGAAATTGACAGAGAAGCTCACACCCTTTCTAGTTTTGCTCATTGCAGATTTCGTCTTTTCACGAAATAAGTGGAAAATATTTCCTATTTGTTTTTCAATAAATCTTAAATTTCCATGTTCATGTCAAGAGGGTTCTACATTTCATTGCTTAGAAATGAATAATGCTTATCTAAGACCTGTATAACCAGATTGATTGATCTTAGAATATCACTGAGTAACTTGACCCAATTCTATGCCTAAAGTTATTCGCCAAAGATCAAAGACCACCCAAGGCTGGCGTTATTTACCACAGGCAACAATCGGTGGTCACCAAGGGTAGCTGTCGCTGTACAGTAGGGACAGTTGCCCTCCGGCCAGACTGTCCGATCAAGGCGCGATCGGTTCTAGGGAATGACCCTGCGGAGTACAAAGTCCTCCCTCTACAGTTCCGTAATCCACACTTGTCCTCCGGAATTTCCGAATCCCAACTTCGAGACAGTCTGACGCAAGATATTGAATTATAGGCCTAAAAACCTTAACTGGCATAAATCCTGCTATATTCCCATTGTGGATCACGGTCAATAGTATGTTGATATTCAAGCCATTAGTTCACCCACATGCAGTTTTGTTTTCTGTTCCCTTAGCTTGGTATAATCGTCATTTCCGAAGGCGGATTGTTAACAAGTCGACTCCTACCATCCCCGCCTATTTGACCTGATGTTTGGTACCTTGCAAGCAGTGGCTTATACTGCAGTTTGTCAATAAATTTATTTGCATCCTTGGGTAGACATCTACCCAATCATCATAGATTCAATACAAGTGCATAATTAAATATCAAAATTATACACTTGTATTGAATCTATGATTTCGGTCTGTTTTATGTATGAAACCGAGGGTATAGGAAAACTGGGTTAATACTTCTAAAATAAGTGAATGTGAATTCTCATTTGGAGCAAGTTTTATGTTAAGCCTTTGAAAATATTGGTAAAGTTGCAGTGTATCTGCATGAAAATCCATGCAGATACGGATTGCAGTGGAAGATTTCTGACCATTCTTATCTATTTCAAAAGAGCTGTAGATGCATCATCAACGATAGCGATGCCATTTCACTTATGGCTGATGTACAAGCTTTAATTTCAATTTAAGATTAGAAAAACTACTTCGAAGTGAACTGATTGGATTGGCAATAGTGCTATTTGAACGAAGTTATACTCACTGCACCTGTGAGAAATGAAATTTACACTTTTCTCAGATCCCGAAAACAGTTTCTTATTGAGAGTCCAAGATACGCTGAAGTCCACAATGCGATTCAGTGGTGAGCCTATGACGCGAATAGCCTGTTGTCCGTGTTAAGTAATCGCAAATTAGTCTAGAAATAACCCACTTCATGTGAATGTCCTTCTACAGACTTTTGGGGATTTTATAAATTGATTAGTACCGTAGAATGATTCTCAATTTGCTTTTGCCTGCACTGTAGTTAACAAGGCTTGTTTCAGTGCATTTACACCTCCTCCCATAGTTTACCCGCTCCTACTACATCTAGCTTGGTCCCTCTGCTTGAGTAGATATTCAGAGTAAGGGCAACTGACACGTTTGGCCGAAGGAAAATTTATGTTTACCCATGTTGCTTGAAAATTGCCATGACACTTATTCCGTTGATCGCTGTAATATTTCATTGCAGTGTTTTGAATCATATTCGCCATTCTTATGCCCTGAGTTTACAAATAGCCAGAAAAATCCATTATAAAAGTCTTGTACCTCAAATGAACTGTTTGTATTTTGTGTTTCAGTATTTTTCAAGTTTCTATACAGGCAATGGGTTTCCCCTGTTCCCTCCACAAGAAGCATTATAAGTTTTCCTTTATTCAAAGTCTTCACGGAATTCCAAGACATTTTACCCTCGGTCTTGAACTGGAAGGAAGAGGCAGGTGGTTGATACTAGAGTTCATTGATTACATGCTGTCAAAGCATCGATTGGGGGCAGATGCTCTTTCCCAACGATGGTAACATCCACGCCTAATACACCCCTAACAGTTCCTCCCACGTGTCTTATGGATTGGAAATCTTATAATACTGTCGGTATGGGCCAACATCAACGCTTTATAGTCTTCTTCTTTGATAACACTTTTATCGTCACCTTCAACGACGTTGGAGAGCTTTATTTTCATGGGTTGAAGAGCTAGAGGGAATCGGAGGGCTTTGATATGAATTTCGATGAAGTTACATAAATCCCTTCAACGTGAGAAAACGCACGAACTTACATGTATGTTCTGTAGAGTATTGTATCGGAATTCCCATTAAAACACCTCGAAGGCAAAAAGTATTATAAGTCTTTCTACATGAAAAAACTTCCAACAAAAGCAACTAAACTATCATGGAAATCAATGACTCATGAAAAATCCCGCAAAGAGAATGACCAGAAATGGAACCGTCAGCGCAAAGGTATAATTATGAAATCAACAAATAAACACAACAGAGCCAATTTCCTTTCCCTGAAATAATCTCACTTTTCTGGTGTTGATATTTTGAAATACTGTATCCACTTGTTACGTTTCCAGTGAATACTACATACTGCGGGAATAACTCCAGGTACAATGTTTCGAGTGTAAAGGAGAAATTTAATGTAATTCCTTTTCTCTCCCTTTTGGTGTTTTTTGTAGTTTACCCGGTGAAAATTCCATTAATGTCTATGAATAATGAATTGGATTTCAAATATTGAGATTTATTGTCAAGTAAAACAGCGCAACGTACCCCTGTCAAAATGTCGATAATTCAATATATTACTGTCGTCATTATATATTTATCAAATGATTGAACATGCGCAAAAATATGGACAAATTCGTGACAAGGAATGAGGATTGAATCTTAAGTCAGCTAGGCCTGAACACATGTGCCAGAAATAATCGGATTTGTGCTAAACGGCACTCAATTTGCAGGCGCATGGCTGACACGATTTGACCGAATCCTTCGTACGTTTCCTTGTATACATCTCTCGTTTATCATCTCAGTATTTTTGTCTGTAGGCAAGTGAATTTTCCTGCCAACGAAGCATGTGACTCGGGGAATTTGAAATAAATTTCAGTGAGATGAATGCATCCAGTAAAGACGTAACGTCTGTAGCCGCAGGCCGCACACATTGACAAAATAGTCGTCGGAAGACCATTGACGTCATAAGGTTATCAACATAAGGCCTCCAATACCGAGACTGGTGAATTAATCAAAACCAAACTAAATGAACGACAAAGGAACAGACTCGGTCCACTCACAATTAACAAAGGACTAATACAATGGCGAAACGAGGGAGACCTTGGAGGAAATGGCGTTTTGTTTGATGCCTCTGGCCCCTTTCAGATAATTTGAAACTAGGGCTAAATTCATACATCTCAGGAAATTTTGTATCGCATCTACCGGCGTGAAGAAGAGACATGCGAATTTGTAGTGTAAACTTCATAATTAAAAGATTATTCAATCTGAAAATTTGTGAACAGCTCTAAACAAAAAGGCACAGTGGTTTTGCAGTTTGCCCGTGACCTTTTGGTTGAAGGAAGTTCAACTTACGAAACGTTCTCCACACCAACCAAATTGTAGACGGGGCATAAACAAGGCCTAGAAAAAAGGATAGTAGTTGAACGGTAATAATCCAATGAAGACATTGACTATGCTCGGACAGAGTTCGAGAAGCGAGACTTGAGATTGATCGAAGTCCTTCGGTGTCAAGTTTCCAGGATTCAGCCCTGAAATCACTCTATTCCTCGCCAGTTCTCACTTGATTGACAGACCAATTCTACGTCATCTTAACCTCACTAGACTGCATTTGAACTTGGAGTATTTGAGAGCGAGTGTGTGACCGAGACATTTGCAATGAAGTGTCAGACTCCTTTCAGAGAACTGACTATTCTAAGGGAAAGATAGAGTGGTGGGGCGGATTGGATGGTGCAGTTGGGAGATGTAGAGGGATCATTTTAAAGAGGGTTGGTTTATGAGGACAAGGTTTGGGGAGTACGAGAATGGAAAGCGGGTTTCGACAGTTTTCTTGTCATGTTATGTCAAATCATATTACCTCTCTGGCTATACCTTCGAGTTCCAATAAAGTAAATTTTGACTTTTCGGCGACAGCCTGTCATGCGAAATCATTCAATGTCCTTTGTAATCTGAAAAGAATCTGTCAATTTTCCTAATTTATTTTCCTAATTAAAGACAGTTTTATGTTTGATCTATCTGCACAGCATGCGAATGTCGTGTACGGAAAACTCAAATGAAAACCGAGCATGAACATTTGTTCTAGCGTTCGCTGATGGACGACGCGTCGTACGTGACATTCGTGACAACTGCAGGAACGTCGGAGACCCTACCTGTATCTTAAGCTTCAAATGAACGCATTCGACGTTGAATGAACGTTGGGCGTGCCTAGATTTGCTCATCGGGGTGCCGTTGGGCCAATACATCATAAATTGGGCCACCATTGGATTTCGGTTGTAACATATTTTACCACTGGGAAATGCTGTTTGTTGGCTAAAGCTTAGGACACACTGTCAGGATTTTGGCAACGATACCGTCCGATTAACCATGGACGTGTTATGTTTATGGTGATGAGTCGGAAAGTACAGGACCAATAATCCGTAATAATCTTACGGATATTGACGGTTAATCTACCGGAGTAAAAACTTTCGTAAATAAGCCTTTCCCGACCTAAAGGATCAGCAAATGTTCTTCTAGATTCTCACAGATTCCGTAAAGTAATGTCTACGATTTGCTGCGCTTCACAAAGTCTTTATAAATCAGGAGCCATCGAGGTCAAAATTGTGACAGTGTGACTTGGGCTTGATATATGGTATGTTTATGTTTATACATGTATTTGAGAAATTGGGCCAGCATTGGCTATGTGTTATAACGCAAGTAGCATACTTTTGGGTCCAAACTGTCCGAATACTGGCTTTTGCCTACTTTACAATGGTGCTTCAATTCGGCCCATCAGTAGCCAACTCAACAGTACCACATATAACCACATATAATTTAATTTAAGTTTGGTCACCTTACATTTGTTAAATCTCCGTCTCTCTAAGTCTTGACGAACATTTGCATATTCCTTGATCTTGCTCCTCATTTGGTGGGCCTTGGGTATTAAGCTGACGTCAAAACTTTAATAAGGGTTGAAATTGGTAGATCAGTAAATTAAAAGAATACACCATTTGAGATCATGATGGCTGAACATCTTCAAAAATAACTATTTTAAACTCGATACGCTCGAGTTTCTAATCTTTTTTAACGCTCTGTCCTTAAACAGACACAGATGTGAACAAAGTAGGTTAGGTGTATTTCAAAAGTAACAAGTAGCCTTCAAGTCCTTGATATTTAGAAGACTTACACCATGTGTGGAACTTGACCAAATTAATAACAGCTGTTTGGTATTTGATCTAAAAACCACGCATTGGGTCTTATCGTCACTGACTACACGCCCCCCCAACCAGCTTCAGGAATCACTGAAAAGAAAGGCAATTGAGGCGAAAAATTAAATTGTAGCCTGCTTTGTTGGAGAGGTAATTACCCAGGATACTCCCCTCCAGTATGGATTTTTAGTGAAGATGAAAATGAGGCGTCAGTTATTGGGATATGAGAAAACACATAGTACGGTGTTTATTTCTCAACCATAATTATGTTGTCATTAAAGTCTAAAGTTGTCATTATATATACAATGATTCTCAGTGGAAAGTGGGCCTGTTACTTATTAACTTTGTGGAATTCTCTAATCTCAAAGTAATTAACGATGCAATGATATGAACGCAGTGAACTCTTATTCAAAGAGGATGTTCTGACCAACTGAGCGTTTTAATGACATTCATTTCGAACAGGACAAAATATCAGGTCTTTTTTCACGTGCATTGATATTTGATAGAGTAAATTCTAGTAAAAGTACAAGGATGTACCCCATAACCTACATTATATAGAATGCAAAAACATACCAATGCCAAAAGAAGGTGCCATTGAAATTATTGGCAACTTTGAAATAAAGTTTTCAGAAAAGTGAACCTTAGATACTGCTGCCTGCTTCGGGGAAAATGACTGATTTAGATGGTATAATTTTCATATTTTCTGCAATCTTACTTTCAGTAATCCGGGGGGCGGATGAGAGATATATATCCTCCTAATTATTACGGGGGGTGGGCTATTGACTCGTCCTCACCCCCAACTTTTTTGTGGTGAGCAAAAAAAATTACTTACGAATACATTCAGTATCGCTTATATTGTGCCCCACCTCGCTTTTCATATTTTCATGTCACCCCCCACCTTTCCGCATCGCCATCCACCCAATTACTGGTACAAATTTACACCACTGGACCTACGTAATAGGGTTCCTACAAACTGCTCCTTTAGACAAGTGCCGGACAGTTACATGAACAAATGTGACGGCGAATCTGCAGTCTCAAGACGCTTTTAGACAAGAATTTGGGTTTGTTGGCTTCGTAGTCAACCAACGAATCCTTTTCACGAACATATACACAGCACTCAATGTGTTGCGCCTCTTCGGGCAAAACCCCTAAAATCTACGAATAAAACAAACGGAATGTATCATCAAAGGTCTGATTTATTGTCAGTGGTCATTAAGGATAATCCATAGGTTTAAACTGATTGTTTTGACCGACTGTATACTACTTTCTTTTCTTTTTAAATTACTTTCTCAGCTTCAATGCAGAGAGACAATTTGACTTCCTTCTATCCAATGATAATCATTATCGAGACCTATATTGGAAATCATCACAAGGGATCATTTTAAAGTTAATTTCCCATCAATGTTAGTGTGTATTCTTGAAACACTCCTTGTGAATTAGTGTGTTGCTAAAGGAGGTCATTCTCTACACTACATAGAGCAACAGGTTAGGGGAGCCCCCTGGGAGAGGTTCTTGGAGGACATTTGGAGTGGCATTGCTGAGAAGTTTGGCTTTCACTTGATCGTGGTTCAAATCCTTCTGCGTTGATAGCAATATAGCAACTGCACCTGTACCAAAGCAGAACAAATTGATAGGTTTTGTCTTATAGCCACATATAGAAAGCCAATAAACAATGACAATGGATTTCCAACTAATCCCCTATCTGCCAAAAACAAACATTGAGAAAATCCCACCAGGAACTTTCTGCTAACGTTTCCACTTGATGTTTCCCATTTTTCTGTTCTTGGCAAAAAAGCAAGTTCTTAAAGACTGGAAATGGTGATTTTCAACCTGTTCCATTAGTCCTAGGGATTATTGTGCTGTCGTATCTCTTGCATTAACCAAAATTGAATTTCATTTACGCATTGGAAAATGATATTGTTTTAGTTTAAGTAGTTTGTAACTCGATCAGCCCTGGTATAATTACCTGAAACAAGAGGTGTTGCTTCCGACGTGCCACTGACTGTTTCTACATCAGAATCACTTCTAATATATGCTCCAATCATATCTTTCCCAGGGGCAAAAATATCGACACAGCTGCCATGGTTTGAGGCGTACCAGCGAGTGTCACTTTTCGTGGACGCACCAACGGTTATGACCTAGATGAAGCGACCCAAAAATGGTGTGTATAAGCTTTGAATAAATTATCACCCTTTGGAAAATATCGTTTTATCTACTGGATTCCTCTCATTCTTTTTTTAAGGTTCCCCCCAAAACAGTCAACCTCGCTTTCAATTCAATATGGCCGACTTGTGGTGAATAAAGTAAGTTACATTCCATTGTTTCAGTGGCCTATCCAGTATAGGGAGGGGGTACTTTCCCCCTCTGACAGATAATTATTGTTTACAAATAATACTTCATAGGGGAGTAGGAAAGAAAGTAATAGGTATATTTATTTATGAAATATTAGCACCAATAACCTAAAAAAATAATTTTTTCTCCCCCAACATCATGTTGAATGAGCCCGACGCCGCATTCAGTTTTAAATTTGTCCCCCTCCCCACCAAAAGCTGGATGCACCGCTGCTTGCCCTGTGCCTCGCCCTACCGGCTAACAGAGACTGTATAGTCCTGCACACGATATCAATTCTAGCCATGTAAACCCGCACTGAATAACGTTACACTTTCTAAAGGCCTGATCGTCCACATTTACCCGTTTGAAGTTCGCTGGGAAATCTTGGCAAGCGTCAACGTTGTCATTTCCCGCTGCTACCGCAATCGTGAATCCTTTATCCATCGTGCGTGTCATGGCGTCTTCAAGAACCTTGTGTGTGCCACTTTGACCTAATGAGATGGAAGCGACTGCTGGCTTGGTAGCTGTGTTAAACATGATGTCAAGCGCTAGGACAAAATCGCAACACAAAGAGAAGCTATATTTTTATCGTTACATAACAAATCCGAAATGGTCATGGGGTGGGGCGAGTTCAGCGTTCTTGAAGCCTAAAATGGTAGTTTCACAAACTAGTATTTGCCGCCTTTATGCCAGTACCATAATTCATTAATTCAACGTTACATAACTCCGCCTTCAACAAGATTGGATTACCTATCAGGTAATTCACAACTACATGATATTGACCGGGTATTGACTAATACTGGAGTTATCGTAAGGGGGAAGGGATGGGTGTGGTTCCTGCAAAGGTCTGTGCCTCTGGGTTCCCTCTCCCTTGAAAGTTTGTATACATGTATACCTCTGTACAAACTGTCCAAAATGTCTGCATCTCCGGGAGTCAGACATATTAACCTAGTTGCGCTGTTGCTCATCCATAACTCACCCTTGATGAGAGCCGACCAGGTACCTAACGCGTTACCAATCACATTAGCTACGACAATGTTGGCTTTATTGGCCGCACCATAGTGATTGCCTGCCGCGACAGAGGTAACCAACGTGCCGTGACCGTAGGGATCGTTACCCTGCATTGATACCAATAAATGGTTGAAAGAGAAAACTAGATCATAAATTTGGATGTCCGGGTATAAAACTGTTCTTCATTTTCTAAACAAAATTTGACAAACTTTTGAATAAAATAAAATGACATTAAATAAGCACTAGAATACTTTGAATGATATCATTGCTTGCATGTAAGGTTGCAAAATTATACAGGTGGTTAATTCTACAAGTTTTCTTCCTCTCTTGCTCTTCCACTGTAATTTCTGACCAAAAGGGGACTTACATTATTGTTATTCACATCGTAAGCGATAGTGACCGATCTTCCTGCAAAATCCTGATGGGTAGCCCTAATGCCGGAGTCAAACACCCAAATCTCCACATTCTCTCCATGATCTGTCAAAATACCGAGGATTTCATCATTGTTAGTCAGCCCTGTTTCGAGTGACTTTGCCTGACTACAACTGCGAAGCGCATCGACCCGGTTTAGAGCTGCCATTTGATCACATTTGCCATGGGATAGATCTTAATCGATGGAGATGTGGAGTTTACATATGAGAAACATTATTTCTCAGAACGAAGTTCTCTGACATTACAAACGAAGTATAGAGGCTGTGTTGTACCATATTATGTATGCTCTGTATGTATGGGGCACAAACATAGGCGTAGCGACTAGAGTCTGTGTGGGGGAGGGATGTGGCACCCACCCCCAATGATAAATTCCAGTTGGCAAATACAGATTCGGTTGGCATGTGAATCCAAAAATGGTACATAAACAATCAGTTGGCCGCCGGCACCGCTCGTGAAGCCTGAAATGTAGCGTACCACGATTTCTATTTCCGCACTTTGTGAATTTTACTCGGCGCGACTTTGACGAACAAGTTACACGTCGGCAAATTTGCTCTGGCACACCCCCATAGCAAATGCCTTAGCTACGCCCCTGGGCCGGCACAAACTCTCTTGCCTTTACGACAGTTACGTACCTAATGTACACGAATTTGTAATTTTGTATGACGGTTTAGAACCTTTAAAATTTCTCACCTCAAACCTTTTGATCACGGAATCGTGTGACGCTGTTTTGGCGTTATACCTTCAAGACCACGTCGTAATTACGAATGAATGTTTTTAATAATACATAGGATAATTCATAGGATATTTTCAGGCATTACTTGGTGGATTGTATTGGCCATCCAGGGGAAGATTTCTCTGGTCAATTCGGTCCAAACCCCATTGACTTGCTGAGCCTTGCTGGTCCACCCGACCAACTTGACGAGCACAAGGAAAAATCTTGGGCAATGGAATCACTCCGTTCTCAGAGACATATTCAACCTCCTCCAGAGCCAGTATCTACATGTCATGACAAGATGGAGATAATTTCAGTCAAGTGTCTGCAATATACTTCTGTTTATGCTTCACATGTTGTCAAAATCCCAGTGCAAAAATATGAAATTTTACACTTACATGATGTAAAGATTTCTCCGATAACTTGGCTGTGAAGCCGTTCAGAACACCCGTGAACGTGTCTTGAATGACAACCCCATTCCGTCGCACGGTGGCGTCTTGAGTAAATTCCCCAATCACGGAGCTGACATCCACTCCATCCTGTTCATATTAATAGTAAAAACATAGAAAAGCTGTACCCACAAAATACATAACAGATATTCAATTTCAGCAGCATCGGTATGTTCCAGTTTATTTATCCAGCATCGTTAAAAGTTTTACATTTTGCACTCCTATACCATATTTAATTTGCCTGCGAGTGGGTTCCAAAAATTACCTGCTACTGCCGCCCTCCCAAAATGTACGTTATTGGCGTATAATTAGTGAAACTTCGGAGTCAAGGCTATCTATAAATTATGACTCACCTTGAGTTTAATAATGTAGCTGTTAGGTAAGGCTTGGCTTGCACGATGTAATGGTGCAGTCTCAACATAGGCAGGTGGGGCCACCAACAGAAAGCAAACCACCAAGTATTTTAACATGATGAAGCTACATGAACAAGAAAAATAGAAATATCAACAACGAAAGTAAACATGTTGTTGGTTGAATCTCTCCCGAGAATAAGCAGGCAGAGGGTGTCCGTTCCTTGAAAAAAATCTCGAGAAAAACCCCTGCTTCGTTTTACATTTTGAGAATTACGCATTTAGTAAGTTTAAGTAACTTGATAAAAAAAATTAACTAGAAAAAACATATTTTGTAGACGACAGAAATACAACAAAATATCCACAGCAGACACAAAGACGGGAAAACTTTTTCACGACGTTACTTAAACAATGCAAGGGCTATGCTCATTAGTGCTGACTTATGATACTTACGAGTCTTGCCTTTGTTCTGCGTTAACTTACTGTTCCCTCGCTTTGTATAAATAATGCTATAAGGACCCATACCTTTGCTATATGTAAGTTACATTTTGTATCCTAATGCAAATATTTGTGTGCTTCCTGCAGATATCTTATCTAAGACCTGGAAACGACAGACTCAATCTATCTAATTATTGACTATATATATTTTTATGGAAATTTTAAAAAGATAATTTGGATACAGAAAACTATAAAAACATGATAGGGTTGGTTCACAGTCAGTGGGAAAAGACACATCTGCAGAGACCAATAGAAACTAGAAGATATCTTGTCTGCAAAAGATAACGTGAACCATACTTTTTTTCTTTGGTCTTAAGTGTACACAATCAACTCCAGTCGTTCATCTCAAGTAAGAGAAGGTAAAAATAAAGTTTTCAGACCCCGTTGCTCGACGGATTATTACATGTTATTTTTTTAGAGGCATGTGTGTGCTGTAACCACATGTACTGTACATGTATAGGGTGCAGATCGCTAATTCAAGTGAGAGTTTCTGACCAGCTCATTAGCATTAAAAGTGCCCCCCACAGTATCTTTTGAAAAAGGAGATTGTTTGGCCCCCAAAATGGTGAGATTATGTACATCCTTGCCAGGATCAACTTCCTGGGTCTTTGAGCTTTCATATGAGAGCAGAAGGGCTACAAATTACAGTTGAAAAAGGGTCCTAAGTGTTCGAGAAAGTTGAGGGTTGCCACTTGAAAAATGGCTGCAATCAGACTTCGGAAAAAACTCACTTTTGGGGGGTGATTTTGTTTTGTGGGAGTAATTAGAAAA